GCGCCGAGGAAACAGCCCCGACAGTGGACCTGACAGAGGACACTCTACCCTCCCCTCCAGCAGCTCAGGAGGTCAAGGAGGAGGTTGGCCTGATCACCAGCCAACAGCGGGACGCCCGAAACGCAGAGTTGGCTCTGGAGAGCATCCTGTTCCCGGGAGGGATCCCCGTGGTATTGGACGACTTTGCCCTGCCAGAGGATGGCGACGAGGATCTCACCTTTGGCCGCCCCCAGGCCGCCACACAGGTAACACCTCAGGCCAAAGACCAGCCTCCCCGGGGACCCTTGTCGCCAGTGGTAGTCCTCCAGAGACTACCCCTGCCCGGGCCACCAGAGGGACCGCAGTCCCAACCGGAAGAGGGGGCTCCTATTTACCTCCAGGATTACTGGGACCCAGTAAGACCCTGGCTCTTCGAGATACGGAGTATCGAGGAGAAACATCTCGGCTTTGCCGCGGCCCTGCACACCTGCACGCTGACACCGGCTCACCACCTGTCGGCGGTCAGGTTCATCATCCCTCCGATTCCTCTGGAACTGGCGAGCGGCACAATCCCACTCGGAGAGAGTGAGGAAAACCTCCCGAAGAATACCTCCGTGGACAAAACTTCCGAACGGGTTCCGACCCCGCCGGCACCTCCGATCGTGGAGATCGGCTCCAGTTCCTCGAGCTCCAGCACCTCCACGTCATGCAGCTGCAGCAGCTCCTCATCGGACTCCGAGGACTCGGTCATCTTCAACCCGGAGCCTACATCAGGAGATCCCGGTCGTCCACCAGGCCGGAACGAGGACCAGACACCATCCCCCGTAAAGGTGGCTCCGGTAAGTCCACCGGCATCTAGCGTCCCGAGCATGAGCACCGAATTCATCGACTTCGGCCCACTCGAGGACCTCTCGCTGCCCAGCACCACAGCAACAGCAGCGTCACCACATCCAGCTCCCTCTCATCCCGAGACTGAGCTGGCCGAGCAACATCCGCCGAGAGAACACCACCATATCCGCCCCTCCGAGTAGGTGAGGATGGCGAGAGGCTCCCGGAGGGCACCCCTCCGGGTTCCGGACGTGCTTTTGCCGCCGTGATCACTCGTCCGAGCCCATCAGCTCAGGCCTCTACATCCGCCTGTACGCAGGTCGGCCTATCCGCTCCTTTGGGAGCCGTGGAAGGCCCCGTCAGCACCAGCAACCAGCCGATGAGGAAGACCACTACGGATACTCGCGACACCACCACAGCGAAGCGAGGAGGAGGACAGCCCAGGGGAAGAGCCGGAGGCAAACGCCGCAGACCACGACACTGGTGCTTCGACTGTCGTCGGCACGGCTACGCCCATCAGGCCTGCCCAAACCCGACGGGAGTCATCTTCTGTGGGCAATGCCCACATCGCCTCAGGGCTGACAGGATCTGCCCGGAGCACGGCCCGGTAGCACAGCCTGCTGACGGACGAACGACGGGACACTCCAGCAAGCTAGCTGAGACATCCCAGGTGAGGCCACCGCCACCTGCTTCGGCTGCATCCAGCCGTCGCCCTCCAACGGCCGCCAGATCACCACCACGCCTCCATGATCGACGTGCTGAAGACTACTGGGCTCCCTTCGAAAGGACCCCCATCCGTCCGGCTGCTGCCGGACCGGCTTATCCGTTCCCCCGGGAGGAGGAACGCAGGCCTCGTCAGGAGGACGAACTTCTAGGAGATTCGGAACTCCGTTTCTTCTGGCAACCGCCAGGGATGGCGCCCACCAGCCACAGCAGCGACTACAGGTCCCCTGAGCAAGGATACTACACCTCGGCGGCCACTAGCGCACCACCCCGACCAGCTCTTGGGCGTGGAGCGAACGCCCGCTTCGGACCTCCGCCATCAAGTCAGGCAACCCGCTGGTCCAGAGAGACCATCGACGCCCTCCAGACCATCCTGGACCAAGTCCAGCGCAGCCAGCAGCAGAGTCCGGAGCGCAGGTACCATCCCCGATAAACCGGCGGCAACCTCTCCGTTCAATCGGCGGCAACATCCCCGAAGAATTGGCGGCAGCATCCCCGAGAAATCGGCGGCATATCCCCGCGAGACGGAGGCACGTCCGGCGGAGAATCTCCCGGCCATCCACTCAACGCCAGAGTGGCCGCTCAGTTTTTTTTTGGGATTATTTTTTTTTGTTTTGTTTTTGTTGTGGTTATGGGGTTTTTCCCCTGTTTTTTTTTGTACTAGAGACTTTTTTTTTTTCGTTTTCTTTTTTTACTTTTTTTTGTATGTCTTTTTGATGGGGGTGCCCGATACCGTAACTTTTTTTTTTGGTTTGTGATAAGTCTCACACGTACCTGAAGGCACCCACAGTAGAATAAGGTTGTGATAACACGGAAGACCCCGTCCGGGGAGGTGACTCCCCACAAGCACCAAAACGGGCCATCAGCCCCAGGGGGCAATCAATGTTTTTTTTTTCTATATATAATTAAGTTTGCCTTTCAGAGGCAGTTCCGGGTCAGACGACCCGGCAAAAATACAGATACGTTTTGATAAACCTTGTACATTTATTCCGACCTTTACTTCAGGGTGTGGGTTCGTGTTTTTCCCCAACATTACGTTTGGTGGAGTCCTCGGATCGGCTAGGTCCGGCTAAAAAGCCGGCGCTCCAGGAAAAAGGGTTTAAGGGATTAATTGGTACGGGTGGAAGGCCGGACGGGGTAAAAATATTAGCAACCACGACGGAGTGCCAAAGACTGATTACGGGTGGAAGGTCGTAAGGGGTAGATGCAGTCACTACCCCTACGAATTGCCAAGACTGCATACGGGTGGAAGGCCGCTCGGGATAAAATCAGTCGTTATTAATTAATTAAGGGTTAGGGAAATAAAATTAGGGTTAAGAATTAAGAATAAGGGTCTTTTGATCCCGAGAATCCAGGGGAACCGATCCTGAGAAAAGGAAGGGGATAGATTGATTTTAGGGATGGGGAATTAATTCAAATTTGAATTAATTCCCCCGCGAAGGGCTTGACCCAGAATAAGGTAGAGGGATCCACCAATCGACACCCGATCGATTGGTAGGCGTGATTAGGGGCTCAGCGCAACGCGACACTGACCTCCGAAAATCAGTTGCGCATTAGCCGCGAGAACAAACGCACGTGAGTGATAAGTGGGGCTCCCAAGACGTGGCAAAAGTGATACAGTGCACCACTCAGGACCCCAGGACAAATAGCTGCAGCCAGGATGGTTCTGAAGAGAAAGAGGAAAGCAGTGAGACGATCTACCGTGAGTTTTTACGGGTTTATTTAGAGATTTTCCTCTTTTTTGGCGGCTTCCCATAAATTCTTGGCGGTAGTGAATTTTCCGAGCCATGGAATTGGCATCGGTAGTGTCCCTCAAAATTTTGGGTGGTTTTGAAGAGGTTGTGGAGGGCTTTGTCCGAATAATTTCGGCCTGCATTATCCCCCAGTGCGGTTGGGGGGTTACTGGTGTAAATTATTTGGATTTTGAGGGTATTTTTATGGTGAATTTTTGGCGAAATTGTCCACGGCCAACGAACAAGGCCAGTGGTTCTCCCTCGTGGCGCAATCGAGGCCGCCAACGAGTGGCTGTGTGCAACAGGTGGGAAATCGCGCGGTAAATTTCCGCGTGGTTATTAATTACGTTAACGGGGTTAATTAGGGGCCCTTACGCCTGAATTTTTGTGGGAGTGTGGGGAATGATGTCCCGGACCAGATGGTCGAGGGTTTTCCGGAATCCACAGAGCGGATTCTGCGTTATAAAAGTTTTAGTAAAGTTAGATGTTTTTGGGGATTTCTCCTCGCTGCTAACCGAGCAGCAAGGCATAGTGCCGTCTCTCTTGCTCTCGCTCTCTCTCTCGCTCGCGCTCACTCGTAGAGGGCCCGATTCCGGGAAATTATCGATTTCCCGGGCGCAAATAATATTTCGGGCATTCCTCGGATTATCGCCAATCGATAATCCTTGAGGCCGCATTCCGGTGGGATTATTCTATGGGAATGTTTGGTAGTCAGCAACATATGTCCGATTTTGTTAAATACTTTATTTTTCGCAGTGACTTAATGAGACTATTGAAATTGTATTTATGCCATCGGTGCCCGTAATCGCGCGATTCTAACCTCGCTTCGCTCGGTTAAATCGCGGATTCCGGGCGCGATGGCATAAAATTTTGTATGAAACGCGTGCGTAATATATTTTTCGACTCGTGGGATTGTAAAACTCGCCTTCGGCTCGTGTTACAAACCCCCCACGAGTCAAAAAATATATTACGCACGTGTTGCATAATATACTATTAGGGTTTTGTTAGAAAATTCATATTCTGCGACGATTTAAGAGGGGAATTAAAATTATAATTGGGGATTTTGCTGAAACTCTGGTATTGAGAGAGGATTGAGAATTGCTAAGAAAATTTGGAAGCAGATTAATCTAATTAAATCGTTATCATTTATTATTATTGTACCGAATTTTGACATGAATAGCGGAAC